CTTGGTACCTTTATGGTCCCATAATATGGTTGTTAACTCTTTCTACCATAACTTTTAGAAGTCGGTGATATTGAGGTGATACCTTAGGCTGCAATTCATAGTGGTAAAACGTTCTAATGCCATTTCCGGTTTTATGCCATCTCTAAGATTGTAGAAGTGGTATACATTTTTAGTATTCTTCAGTTTCATCTGATATTCTGATCCTTGAAATGTAAGACTAAGACCAGTATTTTTTTTTTTAGTAAGTTATATGTTTATAGCTTTTATTGCGGGACTACTTCCATCAGTATTGCGTGTACTTCTCATCATGCTAAAGTGTTACAGCTGATTCATTCATAGGAAAGAGTCAAAATGTTGGAACTTTACAAGTAAGATAGCTTCAGAGCCTCCGGCATCCTTCACTGAAATCAGCAGACTATCCTAGTAATATTTGTCTGCTAGAGATTTTTTCGTATGGGTTTATTAATCTGTTTTCATCTTTCCCACATTCTATGGCATCTATATTTCTGTAACAACCTTATCAAGCATTTTGGATACCTCTGTTAATTGCTTCCTGTCTTTCGGTGCTCAGTGCAGTATTCATTCATATGCTATGCTGTTTTTCTTTGACCAAAGTGATTGTATCTTGTTACTTGAAGTTGATTCCTGTTTTGTTATTCTTTGGAAGTATTTTGTTTAATAACAGTTTTGCTGCGATTTATAGGTGTTTCGAATATGACTCTTTACTCATCTTTATTCTATTCATTTTGATTTAATTTCCCTACCTTCATTGGCAGGGTCTAGCTTACAGGCTGGTGAATTTGCACTTTTGCAAAACGAAGAGGTGCTGAGCACATTTCCCCTTGGCTGGATGGAGGTTTTTTCATCTTCCCATCTCTATTTGGTATTTGATGGCATACCAAGTGGCTTAAAAAAGTTAGTAGAACATAGGCTTGCATTGAAAGTTTAGGAGCTCCACGGTGAGCAGCGTGGAGTTGAGACTATTTTTCTGTGATAGACTCTTCTGTTGAATTCTCAAAGCGGTTGCCCTTGTATATTGGGTTGATCACAGATTATAAGATAATTCGATTTCTGAATGTTGATTGTCACTGAACATCTTTTTTGGGTGTGTTGGGTAATAGGTTTTTTAACGACTCATCTCTGAACTATTTTGAGTATGTTTTAACTATTGATAATACTTTTTACAACGTCATTTTCTGCAGTTCTTTTGTGGAAAGTTAAGCTTATTAGTGCAATCTCTTGCGCTGCTACTTGGTCGAAAACTCAGTAAATTAAAATCCTACCAAATAGTTGAAGTCAGAGGATCCAGAATACTTAAAACACTTGTCTGAGAAAGAGTTCCACCCCAAACAACAAACAACTATTTTCAAGTACAATACAATATCGTTCAACAAAAATGCTATATTGCAATCAAATATTTCACTGGAGGCTCTGGTCATTGCAATTTGCAATTGAATATTTCATTAAGATGCATGCACGAGAGTCTCTGATCATCATCGACCAGTCCAACCAACGGTCTTATTTGTTGTAATCCCAAAATTTACTAGATCTTGTGGAGGTGGAGGTGGAGCTCTAGGCATACTTGGCTTTGCAGGGTCAACGAATATTACCCATCCATCCAAGAATTTGGCGTTCATTCCTTCACGAGCCTTTTCTGCTTCTTCTATTGTTTCATAAGAAACAAATCCGAACCCCTTTGATCTCCCAGTTGCTCTATCAGTAATTACTTTCGCTGTGCATCAACACATAGCAAAAAGATTGGTGACTGTTTATCACAGATGAATCGGAATCTAGCAAAATAAAAGAGGCAAATGAGAAGGAAATTTCTTATTTACTCACCTTCCGTAAGACATCCAAATTCTTCAAATGCCTTTCTAAGGTTTTCATCACCAGTGTATCTTGAAAGCCCTGCACCAATGTCGCATAAACCATTTATTTTCACTTACTTATAACGCTTGCATACAGCAAGTTTCACCAACGTCAATTACACTTTGTCACAATGATTTCCCAATTCTGCTTCTTAATATATGATTCTTGACTTTTCTTTTTCTTGCTTTGAAATTGTTCAACATAGAAGGGTTGCAAGGAAAAATGTATTTAATTATAGGTAGAAATAACTTCTGGATCTCAACTAGAACAACCTATACATAGATACAAGTTAACCATGTAACAAGTGCAACTCTAGTGGTATGAGGACAACAATAGCAGTACCTAACACCTGTAAGATAACTCAAGAACCACCCCATGACTACCTCCAAGAGAATATTGAGGCTTATGTTCTTCTAAACAAGATATACTAAGGAAACTGAGCCACACCTAATTTCTCAGATGAACTCCTTAAATTACCAAAGCTCGCCTAAAAAAATTTGTACTTCTACATGTGCGGTGCAGTATATTTACACTCCGTTGAGCCGAGGGTCTATCGGGATTAACGTCTCCACCCTTCCCAGACCCCACTTATGTGGCCATGTTGTTTTATGTATGTCCTCTTAGAATTTAGAAAAACACTTCCAAGCACATGAATTACTAAGAAACTAGCATCCTTTCAGAAATACTTGGGTGGTCTAGAACTATGGTCTAAAATCAATATATCACGCCGAGTTACTTCCTTTTTCCCTAACAACTAAGAAATCTACAAGGTAAGTGGCACATAGTTCAAAACTCAAATGATGATGGGCTCACCCCGCCACACGTCTCTCTCTGCTTAAATCCCAACTTTTTATACATAGCATGATTTTAAAACATGTTTTGCACCTGACAGACCCATGATTTTGACTGTAACAAGATTCGAACCCATGATGTGCGCCTAACTTACATTAAGTGTTGAGCTTGTGCCACCCAACAAATCCCTGAGGCCATGCCACATTATGCTTTCAAGTAATTTAATTCAAATAAAATGCATAACCTTCCAACTTTCATTTCCTTAACTTTTAACCACGTTAGAAAAGAGTAGTATCAAACTCCTCCGATCTACTTGCTCAAGTATACAGAGTGATGAAATCCTAAATGCATGTGAAAAAGACCAGTATGTGATTTCCAGGCATAAAAACTCAAAACAAGATTACAATCAAACTAATACTCGCTCTAATAACTTAAAGTGTCAACTAGGAAGAAATAAAATCCCTGTCCAGAAGGCAATACAGGTGCATTACACATGGATAATCGGCATACTGCCATGCTTGCAGATCACCTAAGAAATTAAGATCTTTTTCATATCAATTCCACTTTATAATTTCTCCAAACCAGTTAACCATAGAAGGCAAGTTTTTTTTTTGTTGAAACCATAACCATTCCGAACTAATAACTTAACTGCACAAACTTTCAACAAAACTAGAAACTAGCAATCGCCACAGCTTCCACACATCCAACTTCTTTTCGACAAATAAAAAAAAATACCACGAGCTGATACCGAAAGAATTTGTTTATATGTATCAAAACTAGCTCCATACAACATTACAAAAACACAACCTTTATCTCCTTATATATATTCATACAAACTGAACGGATTTTAGTTTTTTAATCGTGTTGATATTATTAAATAATTTTTTCAAACTGCAAATTATACAAATTATTGATAATAACAATCAGGAAAACACATTAAACCAAATCAGCACAAAAGCGGTACTTTCCTGAATCCAATGAAAAAAATAACTAAAAATTCAAATTATACGAAATCTCAGAAATATCTTAGCCATGAACATAAGTAAAACTATAAGGTAATCGTAAGATTTGATGTGTTTATGCACATACCGCTGACAAAAAGCTTTGGACTTGTGAGCGTTGAATTCAAACGAATTGAAGAAAACTGTGATTGAACAATCGTCGAAGATCCACTGAAAATGCGACGAAATAATGCCATTTTAACAATAAACAAACGATTGTTGTGAACAGATTGTAGTTCTGGGAATTTTATTGGGACAAGGTTTAGGGTTTATGATAGATAATAGAAATGAGTGGTGAATTGTAAAGCTTAGGGGGTCAATTAGTTGTTTTGATAAAGTAGAGGACCTGTATGAAATATTCCGTTGATTCATTTCATGCGGCAACATTTTCTTTTCGATCGGTCCCCAAAAAATGTCACATTTCTTATATGATAAGTATTTAAAGGTATATTTTCTCTTTTATCCTTATGATACCACTTAATTTTATATACAGAACTCTTAACACATTTATGAGAAAAGAAAAAAAAAGTAAATTTACCTTTTTGTAAGACAATTTGATAAACATTTTAAAGTCTTCATTATTTTTTAAACAATATCTTCCGTTAAATGTTACAACATAAAATGAGATGGAGAAAATAATTAAATTAAGCATAGAAGGTTCGGGAGCTGAGTTCTCTCTCCTCCAAGTGATCGGCATGAGTTGCGGTGTAGTAATAAAAATTGTTTCACTCTTAAGTAAAAATCTCACATTTGAATCCTACATAGAAAATTATGTAAGTGCACACCTAAATAAAATATGTAATGCGTAAATTAAATTCAGTTAGAGCTCAATGTGAATTTCAAACACCAGGTAAATTTTTTTAAAAAATGCATAATTTGGAGAAATAAATATTATAATGTAGTTGAAAAATGTGTCTAATTTGGAGAAATAATATTTGATTGAATTAAATTATTTTGAGATTAATTATTTTTATAAGTCATTCCTTTATATATATGAGATAATTTATCTCATCAAAACATTGTTTGATTAAGAAAAAGCTATTTACGATTAATTATCTCATGATAATTTATGTAAGAATAAGTTAATTCACATTATATATGAAATAACTTATTTTATTAATATGATATAAACAATATGTGGAGTAATATACTCATACATTTTATCTTAAAATTATTATACTTTATAAACTCCTCGGACCAAACAAACTCCTAGGATATAAATAATCCGAAAACTATGTAATAGAATTCAAATACCTACTATATTAATCTATATTATATATCCAAAATTATTATATCTTATCCTTTTACGTCAAACGACTATAAAATATAATATTTTTTTTTTAACACTTTTATAAAGCAGTCCAATGGCAGAGCAACAACACTAATCCCATTCCACCTAAAGTTAAGCTCAGCAAAGACACCTTTCTCTGAGAAAAAAATGGCCGCCGCAGCACCTCCACCGCCGCCGTCGCCTACACCCGACGTCATCTCCGAGGACTTGCTTCCGACTGGATACAATGTCTTCTCCCGAATTCGGCTTGCCACCATCGTCGACGTTCCTCATATCCACAAACTCATCCACCAGATGGCCGTCTTTGAGAGACTCACCCATCTCTTCTCCGCCACAGAATCTTCACTTTCCTCCACTCTCTTCCCTGAAAACTCCCCACCTCCGTTCACCTCCTTCACCGTTTTCCTTCTCGAAGTTTCTCAAACCCCTTTCCCTCTAATCGACCAAAACTACCCAAATTTCACCCCTATACATAAAACGGTAAATCTGGATCTCCCGATTACCGACCCGCAAGCGGAATCGTTCAGATCGTGTGGAAATGATGTTGTGGTTGCTGGATTTGTGTTGTTTTTCCCTAACTATTCGACTTTCTTAGCGAAACCTGGGTTTTACATCGAGGATATATTTGTGAGGGAGTGTTATAGGAGGAAAGGTTTTGGGAAGATGTTGTTGTCAGCTGTGGCTGCTCAGGCGGCGAAAATGGGTTATGGAAGAGTGGAATGGGTGGTTCTAGATTGGAACGTGAATGCGATCAAGTTTTATGAAGAAATGGGAGCTCAAGTTATGCAGGAATGGAGGGTTTGTAGGCTGACTGGTGATGCCCTTCAAGCCTTTGCAAATGTCTAACATTTGAGTTTGAAATTGTCTTCAATTTTACACCCAATACTCCACTCCACTGTTATGTGTGTGGATGTAAGTGTTATCAGTAGGAATTAAATAAAGAATTTCACTTGTGTTGCAATTTGATCTTTTTTTCTCAGCTTGTGATACTGTGTTTTGAATGATAGTTTTACTTCTATGTGATTAGAAAGGTTTATTTCTAGCATAAAGTTTCTTCCTTTGACATATGCTTTACGGAGCAATATAGTCCATCGAAAACAACCTCTCTATTCGTAACAAGAGTACCATCACCTAAACATCTCAAACCCATGAGATTACACTAAATATATTATAAGACTTTGGAACAACTAGTAAATCGGAACGACTTAGTTTGAACAACGAAGGGTGATTATGAGGAGCTATAGGAACATTGAATAGATGTTTGAACAATAGGAGTTGCGATTCAATATACAATTAGTGTCAATATTATTAGGTTGCTTAAAGAAAACGTAAGCAAGCAAATTTCATGATAAATATCTTCTAATTTTAGGTATAGTGGCATAACAAGAATATATTTGGGAAGTTTGTAGAAGCTGGACTTTGACAAGAATATATTTGGTGTTGGTGATGATAATGAAGGCAGAGGAAAGCATAAACATGGTGGAAGTTTATTTCAGTCTTGAATGAACTCAAAGTTCATCGCCGCGCATGGCAAATCCAAGATTTTAATCTAGGGATTCAAAATATAAAAATAACAAAGTAAATTTTAAATCCCGAAAGCAGAGAGTCAACCTAGAAGATTTTTAGAATATCATGAATATACGATGCAATTAATCATCGAAGGGGTTCACATGAAATACATAACTACACCATAGATCCACCCCTGCTTGCCAACCTTGACTTACAAGTGGGTGGCACTGGCCAATAGTTATTTCAAAAAAACTTAAAAAGTCTATGTAAAATTACATTGAAAACTAGGATTTTGACTTCTTGCCACACAAAATGGAACAAAGGGATTGCCACAACAATATCAATAACAAATTGTTACCTCTTTTGTTGACCCAATCACCAAATATATTCAATAATTCATCACATCAGGAAAAAGCTTATCCCTGTATAAGATATATATCCTAAATTACTTTCTGGCAAAATTTTCTCTGTATGCAAATGTACAATAGGAAACTACCACTGCGAAAAGAAGGGGTAAAAACATTTGCCCCCACGCACGCATGATAAAAGGTCAGCATGCCTCAAGGACTTCAGAAGAGCAGTTCCTCAGCTGCTCTTTTATACATCATCTGAAAACTAATCTATAAAACCAGCAGACTACTTTATGAAAATATAGCGGTAAATAATGAATAAAAAACACTTGTCCTTGCATCTAAGGATGATCCCCATAAGGTCCATCATCAACATGTACCTCCAGGAACACCTTGCCTCATGAACTATTCAATCACCTTGAAACTCTAATTCATCAGCTAGAGGTGCTTTTTGCATGTTCTGAGGTATCGAAGAAAAGATTGTTCTTGCAATGAAAGCACCACTTTCTCTATTTCCAGCTCCATTTCAGATCATCGAGTGTAATAGACGTCTCCCTCCTCCCTTCATAGATATGAGGTCTGTGCACATATGTAGTAATGTAGCTCCTCGCGCACATTCTTCACATAGATGAATTACAGTTCATAAGATGTCTGCTGCACTTCCTTCTCCAACATTGATGTCCCTTTGAATTCCGTCAACGTGAAGTCTCTTGAATACTCCTGATACTGTTAAAACAGTTCTAAAATATCAGCATAGAACTTAGTAAGATTATTTATCTAAATGGTAAAATAGATTGGGTAGTAGAAACTCAGAAGCACCCAAACATTGTTTAGCCATGTGCACAAGAAAACTCCAGACTAATATTAACCAAACCAAACTCTGATTCCTCATCCATGAACTGTGACACACAAAGGGAGCAATTAGTATATAGGATATGAAACTCCTCTAACTACTGCCCTCCACTAGCAATCTGTCTTGTGACCTTGCTTTGATCAGTAAGGCATAAATTCAGTTCAAAACAACCCACTCACAAAAGGAAGTCAGCTTGAGTAGAGGGAATGCAAAGACTTTTTAAGCTTATGTCCACTAGTATTATTTTTTTTTTAATAATTTTTTTTGATAACCCAGAAATCCATCTGTAACCGCCCTTTGGATCAATCACAGCCTTCTTAACTCAGTGGATAATGGGCACGCCCCTCTAGCCTTCTCCACTTAAATTCCGGGCTTTGTTTTGCATGTGTGGGGCTTGAACTTGTGACTAAGCCACAAATCCTCCACCTTTTGCCACTCGAGATAGGCCTTGGGGGCTATGTCTGCTAGTATTTCCAGATCAAATGTACTGCAAATTGCCTTGTGGCAACCTAAACATCCTATGTAGAACGTCCTACAGCTTGCACTAGCTCCAACTCTTGAATCAGCAATTAGAAATGGACTTGCGTGCATAACTTGACAATAAATCTAGCTTCAGTAGCCTCAAACATTATACAGCTTAAAATCTAATCTCTATCTTTATAAGAAAATTGAATCTATAATTTAACTTTCAACACTATCATCCATGATGCAAAGGGAGAATCAGATAAACAAGGTAAAAACAAATGATCTGTCCATACTAATATTAAAGATCCACTCACGCGTTCATAAGTCATCTTTCTGAAACCCAGTTTATTTGTCCAGATGGATTTAGCCTCTTCAGCAGCTGGCACAACCAGGTTTTTAACATGCATCGAAGATAATAGAATTTCAATAGATCCAAATAACGCCTGGAAATAACCCTTCAAAGGAATAAACATAAGGATCATCAGTTTGTGTTCCACAAGAATAGCTTACTTCCCCTAGGATTAAAGCTTCAGAACCAGCAAGCAAAACCACAAATAAGCACAGCAAAGGAGTCTAGTCAAGCAGAGCTTACTTTGCCCTGGTTTGCTCTACTTGTAGCCACCATAGGGAGTTCAGCAACCTCTTGCCCAAAAATCCTGAGAAGAGCAGCTGATACAACTACTGACCTGTACCCATTTGGTGACATGAATAATGACTCAGGAAAGCAGATTAGATTGTAACTTCAGACCAACTATAAATAAAAAAATATTGAGAAGGCACTGAAAAAAACTTCAAATCAGTGGCTTACTTCACAATCAAAACGATGCAATACATTCCCCCAAATTCTTGACCTGAGATGTTTCTCCTACATTAGACAGGAATACAGAAATTAGAAAAGTCAAAGTGTGTGCAATTCAAATAGAGCAAGTACTCGAATTTTCGAAGCAAAAGGCAAAATAACACAAGCAGGCCAAAATATCCAAGCCACAATCAGAAGAGCTCTAGATGATTGAGAAATAGAAAGATTAGCAAGCTAGCTAAACTTTTTAGAATCCCATATCTACACCCCCAGACCTCCCTGAGAAACCTTGGTGGAAACTCAATGGGAAGGGCAACTTCTGTGAGATCTATTTATAGTAACCTCAACTACAAATCTGGCCTGACAAGGATTTGGCCTCGGAAACTCATCTGAAAAATCAAAATTCTACCAAAGGTGCCAGTTTTCACCTGGCTAGTGTCTACTGTGTGGTCAAAAACTGGAAAGCAATGAACATCTCTTCAGCCACTGCAAGATAACTACACATCTGTGGCACATGTTCTTTTGAATTTTATTTCTAGGAGTTTCTTGGGTTGTTCCTGAAACCACTTTTGCACTCCTTAATAGCTGGAAAGAAGTTGGCAGAAGAAGTGGTACAGAAAACTGGTGGCAAATTATTCCAGCTTGTATATGGTGGTCTATATGGGAAGAAAGGAACTCTAGACATTTTTATTTGCCTCAAGTGTTACCTATTTTTGGTGTTAATAGTATATTTTTAGTGATGTAGCAGACCTAGTAGATCTGATAGGACTGTTAATGCTTTAGACCTTCAGCTACTGGCTGATCTCTTCTTTTATTTTTTCTATGGAGCAAGCTTGTATATTTCCATCAGCAACTTGATGCTAATCTTTTGGATTTCTATACAAGCCATTACCTTTTTTTAAAAAAAAATAATCTAAAATTTAACAATTGCATGTCATGTCATGTGCAAATAATCTAATTTTAGCGAAGATTAAGAGATGTATTAGGACAAACTTATCATTCGACTTATTTATATCAAATATATTTTGCTAATTAATAGTAAAAGAAAGAAGACAATTGGATAACTTCGGTGAGTGAAGGCAACACGAGAACTTACAATAAGACATTGCAAGACTAACATGATGCATGATTCTTTCTTTTGATAGGCTAGAAAATTAAGATCAACATTCAACATTTCATTACGTGGAACTTTTTCTTTTATTTTTATTTCATAATTCAAACATACACACACATTAAATTGTGTATTCATGGATATAAGGAACACATGCAAAGCGCGTACCCTGGGACTAGTTGTCCTAAATGGAGACTACTAAAAGATCAAACACTAGAAGCATTGTCTGTCAGATTTTCTAATACAGTTCATGGACAAGAAAACAAAAAAGGCCGAGTCAGTAAGGAAAACTTGTGGTAACACTAGGGTTATAACATGTAAGCAAAGGAATACTCACCCATAAACCATAACAGGTATAAGATCTCGTCCAGATTTGGCAACAATAGGATCAAAGCGCTCCTGCACAGAAAGACAGAGATGACAATTGAAACTAAGTAACCAACTTAATAAGGAGAAGTTTGACGCATAATTCAAGGATAAATTTTCAGATAATTAATGAATAAGTGGGGACAAAGTGCATATTGAAATTATTCTTGTTACACCTTGTAATCTTCAATGAGCTGGTCCTACTCCATTAAGACTCAATTAATCAAATTTTTTTATATTAAGTAGACTCAATTATTCCATGATGTGGTAGTTAAAAGGATTTATCTGTTTCTAACGATGGTGTTGCTGGTCAACCTGGCATTCTGTCGAGATTTATCGAGTTCAAGAATCTTGATGATGCACAAAATTATACTTGAGGATTGAAATCTACGGTAAGGTTCAGTTATCAGCAAGTTTTTTCACCACCATGCAGCATTAAGCTTCACCACAAGTGTTAAAAACATCTTTGTCCAATTATAGCAGCAATGTACAATCTCCATTAATTCAGATTTTCGGTAAGTGTCCTCTTTATGATCTGAACTGTCAAAAGAAATTCCAACTGATGCTTA